CAGTATTTCACTGCAGAATCATTACACCCTACTTTTTCACTCTGAAAATTAGTTTATAACCTTTCCTTGCAAAACTGTCTCATGGATGATTCTGTTCCTCACGTGACGTAAGAAGCAACTAGAGGGCTAGAGTTGTGGCTCAGTGGTAGACTTGCCTAGCACGCGTGAGGCACTGGGTCCGATCCTTAGAACCACATAAAAATAAACAAATAAAGGTATCGTGTCCACCTACAACTAAAAAGAGATTTAAAAAAAGAAGAAGAAGAGCTGGGGTGTGGCTCAGTGGTAGAGGGCTTGCCTAGCGTGTGTGAGGCCGTGGGGAGGGAGGGAGGGAGGGAGGGAGGGAAGGAAGGAAGGAAGGAAGGAAGGAAGGAAGGAAGGAAGGTGCTGTGTCCATCTACAACTAAAAAAAAGAAAGAAAAAGAAGTAATTAGAGCCACACTATACTCCCCAGTGGCATATGACCATGCTTCAGTCTTCCTGCACCTAGAATTCCCCGGGCTCACTGCCTGTCATCTCTGTAGTCCCTCAGAGTGCCGCTTCTACACCAGTGGCCGTAGGACTGCGCCTTCAAGGGGGAAACTGAGGACAGTGGTGCAAAATCTCCACACAGGGAGGATGACCTTTTGCAACACTGCTGCAAATTTTCTCAACTGTAATATTAACTATATCGCACAAAATGAAACAATTAACCTGTTACCCTTTTTCCAAACCAGAAAAATGTTCACTAAATTGTCACAAAGCTATGATATATGTCAATTTGGACTCTTCAATACTCCTGAATATAGGTTACTCAAAACTCTCTTCAAGAGTATTCCATGCATCCTAATCTTGCACCAAAGACAGTCTAATAGTACAATATTTTTAAGTAATACTTGAATAGTTTTATAGAAATTCACATAATAGACACATCTCACTTTAAAAAAAAAAAAAACTAGCAGAAAATCTTCAATGATACAGGACCAGTCTAACTCCACACCATGTACAACCCACAAGAATGGGATCTGTCCACATAGGTATGATATGTCAAAATATACCCTGCTGTATATACCCTAAAAAGAACAAAAACGATCTGCAATAATTACACGGCAAATTACAGTTATTTATTTAGTATATTGATGGTTTGTCTACTCCCACTAGAATGCAAGTCCTAAGAGGACAAGGATATTTTTTTCTTCTCATATGTATCACCATTCACCAAAACACTACCTAGCACATAGTACAGGCACGATAAATATTTGTTGAAGAAAAAAGATACACTAGAAAAAGTTTTACCAGTGAATGCTTTCAATTTTCCTAAGAGAATTTTCTTAGTTAAACCACTAAAATGTGAAAAGAGCATGTGGTGTAAAATAACACCACAGCCCCCCAACACACACATACACTGTCCATATGACCAGGCCCTTCTGACCTGAATGATCCTGGCAAAAGCTGCCATCTGCCCACTCCTTTCAAATTCACCACCATACCACCAACCACCAACCATCATCAACACCATTCTAGGCTTCCAGATTCATGTCTGGTCTAACACTGTGTTTCTTACTTCCAAGTTTTTCAATCCAATTTACAAGGACATCAACAAACTCTAGAAAGATCAGCCTGTGAAAGAGCAAGAACAATTTGTAATACAAAAATAACAGTGTATTTCTCCAGAAAAAGAATCCTCAAGGTCCAAAGAAACTGACTTGTCTTCAATCATGACAATCATTCATCAATAGGTACAACAAAGAAGTGATTATTGATCCAGCTGTCAACAATTCAGTTTTTCTTTCAATTTTATTACAAAATAACACAAATTTGTTGTAAAAACACATTTGGAACATCACAAAAGTAAAAACTTTAAAATTTTCTCCATCCGGGTCATACTAGCCCGGTGCACTGGCGCACACCTATAATCCCAATAGCTCAGGAGGCTGAGGTAGGAGGATCTTGAGTTCAAAGCCAGCCTCAGCAACAGTGAGGTGCTAAGCAACTCAATGAGACCCTGTCTCTAAATAAAATACAAAATAGATCTGGGATGTGGCTCAGCGGTCAAGTGCCCCTGAGTTCAATACCTGGTACTCTCTCCAGGAAAAAAAAAAAAAAGGTCATACCATATGGATAGATCTCCAAATGCTTTCTTTCTACTTACCGTTAGCACAGACATCAATTCACTGTTAGTCCTTCAAAGTCTGCTTGTGTACCCTCTGAACAGACTTCCTGTGGTAATGGTTCCCAAACTTTTTAAAATATTTTTATATTTTTTTTAGTTGTAGATGGACACATTATCTTTATTTTATTTTTATGTGGTGCTGAAGATCGAACCCAGTACCTTCCACATGCTAGGAGAGCACTCTATCACTGGAGCTACAACCCCAGCCCCCAAACTTTTTAATCTCTGCTCTTGCTCCACTTTTGAAAATTACTGATGACCCCAAAGAACTTTAATTTATATGGATTATCTCATCAATACTTACCATCTTAGAAATTAAAACTAAAACTTAAAAATATACTTATTGATTTAAAAACAAATATTTTTATTATGTTTTCTCCCAGAAAGGCAAATTTCATGGGTAATAACAGATATTCTTTTCTGCTACACTGAAAACCTCTGTACATGGTGGTTTCTTAAAGGCTGGAGGCCAGGTAGAATCTGAAACCATATCGATAAACTTTTGTATTCTATGACATTAGAATCTCCTGGTTCACCTTGTACTTTGAATGGAGCTTCCACCTGTGCATGCTTCTATATCACATGTTGATCATTTAGAAAACACTGGTTCACTTATTTACGTAGATCTTTTAAGTTATAGCTTTCATTATAAAGTATCAAAATATCACAGCCGTAAATATTACACCAAGCTCTACATCACAGTGATATACAAAAGTTATCCAAAATCCTATTTCACTAGAAAGCTAACACTTTATAATTGGCAAAAAAAAAAAAAACAACAACAACAACAATAAGAAAGAAAAATATATACACACACACACACACACACACACACACACTCCCGGTTGTTTTCCTTGAAAGGAAAGATCTTTTCTTTCAAGAAACACAACCGAGAGTATTTTTTTGTTTTGGTTTGTTTTTGCCAATGATAAAATTTTGGCTTTCCAGTGAGATTACTGGGTCACTGACATACAAATTCATCTAAAACTCTCCAAAAAGGCTGTGGCAATTTTCACTAAGGCTGCATGAATGATCACCACTAGTTAAAATGTAAATATTTCCTTTTTAAATCCTGAATTTGAGAAGATCATATATTACCACATTTGCCTGCCTAAAATAATACTCAAGTAAATCCGATGTTTCAAGGTGAAGTAAAATCCAGATTAACTTAGATGAAGTGAATATTTTTGAATTTCAAAGTGCACACCATCTGCACACACTGCACATCCACTCGTGGGACGGGTGGGCTCAATTCATACCTTAATACTAAGCAAAGCCTGAAAAATATCAGGCTGCAGCAGCACAAACACGACCCTAATTAACGGATCCTGGCTGGCCTCTTTACACATATCAGTTAAGCTGACCCTCAGCTTTAACTTCACACAGGATTCTTGGAAGTGAACAATGTAACATGTACTGTCAGCACTCAAATGCCAGCTATGTTCACAAAAGTGTCGAAGACAATCATTATTGCCCAAATGTCATTCTAAACAGGGAGAGAGGAAGATGCAACATATCATCAGTGGGGAAAGAGTTACTCCTTATGGAAGGTAAAATAATTAGAAGACGTGTGTCCTCAATTCATCAGAAATGCTGCTTTCCAGTTCAATCTTTTCCACAGAGCACAAAAGTGAGTATTTTCAAATCCTACTTTTGATTGAAAAAAAACAAGGATACTAGTGTCAACTCGGATGTGGTTCTTAACTTTTTAGAACACAAACCACTTTAGGAATAGGATAAAAGCTCTCTACAGAAACAGTAGTAGAGGATTCATGCAGTTAGAGGAAGTCTGTGCCTTCAGTTAAAGCAAATGACAGAATTAGGAATCCCAAGAAGCCACTTAAGACCAACCCTATCATGAAACTGAGGCCCTGGAACAGTAAAATGGCTTGTCCAAGGTCAACAGTGAACAAAAAGTTCAATCAATCAGGCAAGAAGTAAGCAACTCAAACAGATTTTTGAATAAAGCCCTAATTTTCTTATACAAAGAAAGTTTCTGTCGGCAACTAAGAGATAACTACAGTAACAAAAATGTTAAGTAGAACTGGAAGGAACTGACACAAGTACTGCTGTTTCAAAAACCTCCTTAACAGCCTAAGCTGAAGGTGTAAGGAAAAATATGACCAGAAATCTTGAAAAAGAACTCACCATGTTCCATAAAAACATTGCAGTGTGGACCCCCATGCCTTGATGAGTCCTTCTTCCCTGCTCCTTTGATAAAGTGCAGGGCAGGCAAACTTGGCCTTCGTTGGTCCCCAAGAACTTTTCCAGGCTGCTGCCCCATAAAGCAATGATAAGCACCCCTTTCCAGAAGAGGGTTCAAGATCTTCCAGAACGGTGAGTGGACTTAGAAGGAAAAGGATATATGCGTGGGATTTCACATTTACTGCATCTCCCCAAGTTAACTGAGGTCAATCACAGAAAGACACCTTCCGTGACAAAGGGGAGCGGACCTTTAGTTTGACAGTTGTAAACAGGAGTTCCAATTATTTTCGCAGTTTAACTTGATTTTAAGTTTCTTGATTTTAAGTATGTTTCACAGGCTGAATAACAGTTTTTTTTTTTCATCCCCAAGAAGAAAAATTTAAACACAAATATTCACAGGCGACGCTAGGTCAACAGTCCTACAGTCTTTTCCATTCACAAGTAAAAAGGATCGTCCTTGGATGCTACTTCCGAACTTTTCCTGTGGAAGTCACCAACCCCCTATCTTGGTTTCTCCATCTTCCAACAAATTTCCTGCCCCTCTTCCTTCCCTACCCTGCTCTTCGGGAAAGGGCACGGGTCACCCAGATTTCAGCGAGCTTGCCCTCCAGTCTGACAAGAAGGAATGCATTGCCAGCAACTTTTAAGTCCGCTTTTTAAAAGGCCTGTGAAACCAATCCAGGCTTTTCCTTTGCATTGAAGTTTTTGGCTGCACTGGGACCGAGGGGGCCGAAGGTGACATTGGAAGAAGTCAGGGCATCAAGGCTCGCGGGAGCAACCTGGAGGACAGGAGAGAACGCCTGACAGTGGGCAGGGGCTCTCCTCCGGCGGGCGGGGGGCTCGGCGGCCGGGCGTGGGCCGGGGCCGGGGCGGCGGGGGCGAGCACCGGCTGCCGGGGCGGGGCACGGGCGGCTTACTCGGGGACGACGCTCCTCCACGCATCAAGCAAGAAGCCGGGTGTCCCCGGTCGGGGGCGAGTGAAACCACCCCGGCGTCCCGGCGCGGGAGCGGGCAGCACGGGCCGGAGGACGCGCGCGGCCCCAAGCCGGGGGCGGCCACGGGGGGAGGAGGCCCCGCCGCCGCGGCTGCCCCGATCCCGGGGTCTCTGCCCGAGACACCCCCTCCCCCGGCCCCGGACGTCGCCGCCGCCTCCGCCGCGCAGTCACATCCCCCGAGCTCCGCCGAGGCACAGCCTCCCCCCGCCGGTGGGGGCCGCGGACAAGGGAGGGGCTCCTCAGCCACAGGACCGGGAACCGGCTCCGGCGCCGCTCAGAGACAGACACCGACCCCCGCGGCCGCCATGATGGATTACGAGCCGCTCCACAACGAGGCCAGGCCCCGCCCTCCAGCCCCGCCCCCGGCGACTTGCGAAGCCCGCCACGCGAGGCCCGGGCGACCCTGGTGCCGCCTTCTGCGGACGCCGCCGCACCTTCTGCCGTAGTCTTGGTGCGGGTGAGAGTCCAGCCCCGCACGACCTTTTAATTTGGTTCTCCTGGGTGCAAGGTGAGCGGTAAGGAAGCGCCCGCCTCCTCCGCACTGCCATTGGTCCCTGGGAATCCCGGCCCCTCTCTTCCATCCCATTGGCCAGTGAGAGCAGCTGGACCGGCCCTGATAGCCAACCGCCTTCGGCGCGGCCGCGGGGCGTGCCGGGAGCTGTGGTTCCGCTGGGCGCCCGGCCCCCGCACAGACTCGGCCGGCCCTCGGCTCTCCGCTCCAGCGCTCCTGCCCCTCCCGCCAGGGAGCCGGTGGACTCGTTGGCCTCTCCCCTGGCTGGCCAGCTCTCCGGGCGCCCGAAGCTCGGCCGAAGAGCCAGAGCGAAGGGGAAACTGCGGATTGGATTTTCCCAAAACCGGAATTGGATTACTTCCTTGAGCCTCTTTTAGGGGAGAAAATTTGGCTTGATCCTTGAAATCCAAGCTATTTGGTCCCTTTCATCCCATTCACTCCCTAAAAAGCACCAATGTTGGAACTAGAGAGGAAATCCGACATGCTGCTAGCGAATTTAATGGTTTGTTTCTTTGAGGGATCAGGAGGCTGGCTTACTATAGCAACAGCATTTGTTCTGAGGGCGTGTCAGGTGCAATCGGATGTTTGCCAGAATCTCTAAGGTAGAGTTTCGCAGGTGAACACGTATTTGCATGACATTCTTGCTTGTTAGACAACAAAATGCCCATATTAGGCTTTGCAGGCCTACAAGCTAGCTAACAACCTAAATACGCCGAACTCGCACCTGTCATAACCCATCTTCTGCGACTAAAAAGTCCTCATTCTTCACTCTCCATAGAGCAGCACCTAACTGCGATATACCCATTTCTGAGGGGACCCACTCATCACAGCGCCTCTCTACGCCCTGCAATATTGGCACTTTTCATCGACTGCATTCTCGTTTAGTACTCATGATAGCCCTGTGAGGGCTATCATGTGATATTATCCCCATTATACAGATGGGGAAACAGATTCAGAAAAGTGACTTACCCAAGGCACTTGGCTAATATGACAGGCATTACTTCAGCCCAGATTGGCCTTGCTCCAAAATACATGGTATTCCTACTATACCATCAGCCACCAAATTACTTTTCAGAAGTTTCTACTGATACCACAGGCACCACAGCTGCATTGAGTGCCAGTACATTCAGCTCAGCATTTTAGAAATATTTCTGCCACACTGAGACATGGCATTTACCATATACATATTTTTGTTAGTTGTCAATGGACCATGATTTTATTTTATATACAGTGCTGAAAATCAAACCCAGTGCCTCACACATGCTAGGTAAGTGCTCTACCATTGAGCCACCACCCCAGCCCCCCATAGCACTTACTCTTGATAATGGCACTTTGATTACTGAAGAGGAAAATATCCACTTGGAGATTCAATGGGAAACATGAAAAATTTGTGCCAGATTTAGAACTGGAATTCATAAATGCACGTCGATATAGCTTTGTGGCTCAGTGATAGAGCACTTGCCTCGCACATATGAGGTACTGGATTTGATCCTCAGCACCATATAAAAAAATAAATAAATAAAAACCTTAGTTCTCATCTATAGTATTTTTCTTCAAACTTCAATGCCTTTGTTCCTCTTGATTTATCTGTCTTATACTGATTGCTACTCCCAATTTTTCTTTGTGACATTTTCTACTTTTTTAAATTCCTATTCATGTTTTAATCACTTCCTCCACATCTGCATTCTTCACTCTCTGGTCTAGGTTAAAATTGGGAAATCAAATCAGAACTCTATAATATACATAGCTTACACTTAACAATTCATTTAACAAGTATTTACTGAGTACCTATTCTAAGTACTAGAATACAGCAATGGGGGAAAAACACCTCCTTATTCTTGGGGAGCATACATGGGACAGGCAATATGCAAATAGGTAACAATTCAAATAAAAGATAACCTCAATGCTGGAAGTTAGACTTCTGGATTCATGACCTTTCAGTCAGTCCTACTTGTCCTCTGAAGGCCTGCTTTCTGATACCTCTAGGGCTTAAACGTGCTTGATTCAGTCACTCATGAACTTACTCAAGTCACCTTACTTCTCAGACTTCTTCACCTATAAGCGGGGTTCCTAGCTGTTTACTTCATAAAGTTATCATGCCAATCAGACCAGACTTTGGTTTTCCACAAAGCTGGAGATATGCTTCATGGTGGTCACAGTAGAGGTCACTACCCTTCATCTAAAGATTAGATTATCCCTAATCTCCATTCTTCACTTCCACTGTTTTGGGGGTTTCAGGAGAGCCCCAAGCCAAGACTTTTTTTTTTTTTTCCTAAAGATGCACTGTACTCTTTCAATCCCTATAGAATGATACTTTTAAGGACTTAAAACTAGAATCCAGAGTCCAGCAAATGACCAATGTTGAATAAATCTCTCTAAGCTCATGTTTCCATTAAAAGTGATTCAGCCGAGTCTAATTTTGTCTTCACTCTTGTAAAGCAAAACTCATTAAGCTTAAAAATTTCAGCTTGGGGCTGGGATGTGGCTCAAGCGGTAGCGCGCTCGCCTGGCATGCGTGCGGCCCGGGTTCGATCCTCAGCACCACATACAAACAAAGATGTTGTGTCCGCCAAATACTAAAAAATAAATATTAAAAAATTCTCTCTCTCTCTACCTCTATCTCTCTCACTCTCTCTTTAAAAAAAAAAAAAAAAAATTTCAGCTTATTCCATTTCTTACACCTACTGGAAATACACTTAACCAGGGCGCCCTCTAGTGGGCCATGGAAAGCAGGTAATCACCAGAAGGTGCTTTCAGACCTTGGTCAGCAGGAACTGGATGAAGAACCAGCACGGGTGAACCAGGTGAGGACAAACAAGCTTGCGGGACGCAGGCTCTGCTCTTTATCATTTCTGTCTCTCAAGTGGAAAATCTTCTTAAAAACATGACAGGTGAGCCAACCTAATGATGCAGTGCTGCCTAAAGCTTATTCATTTGTCTGCACTTTCCTCAAAACAGGTGACACATGGGATAATGATTTTTAAAAAGTTGTCAACTGAGTTATAAAGAACCATGTTATTTAATGAAAAAGAGCCAACTGTATTTCAGAGCTGTCCAAGGCAGTGTTTGGTTGGTTACTACCGCTGAAACAGCCTAGGTTTGTTTTAATAGAAGTAGGGTAGAAAGGCCTCAGATGGAAGTTATGTCTGCTGAGCCCTCCTTCAGCTAGCTGCATTTAGCTAATTGTTACCCAGAAACCAACACTAGCACACTTACAACCATCAAAAAGTAGTTCACCACACGTGGAATAAGACAGTACTTCCATATATAATGCCTTAAAAAATGTTTCTGAAAACCTAAATCAGGGCACCATTTTTAAATAGTCATCAGAAAAACAATGGATCGGAATTCTAATATTCCTCAGTGAGAACTTCACTATCTGGTTTTTATTTTTTAACGGTAAATTATTCAAAAATGAATGTGTCACTACTTCAGTTATAGGAGGAAAACAGCTTTGCTTTTCCAATCTCCATTTTCCTCACTTACTTTTCATGTTTATCAGAGCACCCAAAAGTAAGATGGGCCCAGAACATTCATTCTATTATTGGTAATAACTTCTTATAAACCCCCCTCAAAGGCAGGACAGGTTAAGTAAGAGACCTGGTGTCAACTCCTCACCTCTCAGTGGAAGGAACATATAGTGGGAAATGAGATTCTGGCTAAGCAAAAGGTGGCTGGGTGAACTTTATTCTTCCCTGACCATGGGCCTCACTTCACCACTGTATTCTTCACCAAACACTTGAACTTCAAAGGTGGAGTGGAGACCAGAACACACTACTTAGGGGTCAGGGATGCTGTGTTTTCTAATGGGGTAATTTCAGGGGGCTTCGTGCCTTGTGAATGATGGTGAGTGGAAGACAAAGGATTCACCCAATTGTTCCAGGAGCCATTCGCCTCAACAGGATAAAAGACCTGAAACTACCTCTTTGCACTGGGACCTGGCCTGTCCAGCAATGTTCAGTTCCCGCCAGGCTGTCTCATAACAAGAGAGAGCAAGCTCAGGAGCTCTCCAGCCCCTCAACTGCAATGCAGATGAGTAACGAGTCTGTGGATCCTCCCTGGGCCACATGTGGGGACCTCACAGTGACTTGGCCCACCTTCAAGAGCCTCTCCTCATCCTTCCTGTTCTAAAAGCCTCTGGCGTGTTTCCAGCACAATCTCCTCCATGACTTCTGGCTTTAAGATGTCTTTGATCTGAGAAAGACAGAAAAAAGGTATGTGTTCTAAAAAGAAGCTAACCATTAAGCAGACCATCAAGCCATCCAAAACACGGGAACTAAGCATGGTTAACATAAAACTTCTGCACTCTGTTCCTTTACCAGAAACTCACTTGGTGCTATGGAATGTGATCTGCCAGAAGCAGCTTAAGAAATCAAGACTCCCTGGGACATGAGTGACAACGACAAAAATATTCTGACATTCACTTAAAAGATGAGTGCGGAAGCACAGGCCTATAATCCCAGCAACTCGGGAGGCTGAGGCCCTGAGCAACTGAAGATGGCACTGTTTCAAAATTAAAAAGGGCTGGGGATGTAGCTCAGTGGTAAAGCGTCCTTGGGTTCAATTTCCAGTACCAAAAAAAAAAAAAGGTTAAGATTTGGGATGGGCAAGATGAAGTCAAGAGGATAGAGGTTTACTATCATAAGAGAGCCTCACCTGGCACCTCCATTCCAAACTCTTAGCCAGACATTAGACATGGAAGATATTGCCAGTGTCTTTTTTTCATACCAGGGATTGAGCCAAGGAGCACTTAACCACTGAGCCACATTCCCAACCCTTTTTTAATTTCTTATTTTGAGACAGAGTCTCACTAAGTTGCTTAGAGCCTTAAGAGGGATCTGCCAGACACTCAGTAAGGCTGCCCCCCAGACCAGTCCTTACTGATGAGCATGGTAGAAGCACTGGGGACACTGAGGAAGCACCGTTGCAGCTCTCAGAGGAGTGAGGAAAAACGGAGCTCCGGTGGAGTACCTGATGCGAAAGGGATGCTTCATAGCAATACAGGATACTGGTGTCATACAGCATCATCCTCTGAGTTACCAAGGAGACAATGCAGTTCCGGAGCCGTGATATCACCTCTCGATCAGCAAGGCAGACAGGCTACAAGAGGTAAAAGAGGAAGTAAAGGGAAATACAAATTGGACCAAAACAGTGAAAAGTCCCAGTAAATTAGCAGAAAGGAGATCATGCGTGACTCAGCATTGCTCTAGGACTCCCCCAAGGAAGACGAAGAATGTGGCTTCTTTAATGGTTCTTTAGCTGTTACCCTGCACCTTTGCCCTATCACCCAGCAAAGATCAAACCAGTCATTGAATCTATCTCTTCAGAAAAGAGAAGTTAATTCAATGTTATGAACTGAATTTCCTAAATGGAAACTCAAACTCAGTCTTCAGCAATAACATGCAGTCATGCACTGTACAGTGACACTTCAATCATCAACAGATCGCATATGACAGTCTCCCAAGATTAAACCACCTGGTAGTGCTGGAGCCATCTTAGTTTATAAGTACACAGTACAATGTTCCGACAATGACAGTCACCTAACACTGCATTTCTCAGAACAAAACACCATAGCTAAGCAGCATAAGAGTAATTTAAAAAGCAACAAAGCCAGGCGTGGTGGCACACACCTGTATTCTTAGCAACTCAGGAGGCTGAGGCAGGAGGATTGCAAGTTCAAAGCCAGCCTGAACAATTTAGCAAGACCATGTCTCAAAATAAAAAAATAAAAAGGCTGGAGAGGTAGCTCAGTGGGAAAGCGCCCAATACCACCCTAAAAAATAAGGCAATGAACTCTGCCACAAAAAACACAGCAGAGACCAAGCGTCCTCACCACCAACAGCAGCAATACGCTCACTCACCTCCAGGTTTGCAGTGAAGCCCCCTGCGTCCTCATCCTTGTGCTCAGGGGTTGGGTAGATCCAGATGAAGCCATTGTTACCCAGAATCACTGAGGCACCACACGGCAAGTCATGGAAGTGAGTCTTCTGCCGTTTCACCAGGGAGGGGGAAACCTGGACCAAAACACCCTGACCTAGCTAAAGAAAAAGATCACAGGGTAGGTCACTGTAGACCATCAGTGAGATGACTGAAAACAGATTACAGAACATACATCCCTGTTACATCCCAGTCAGCGTCCTTCATTAATAACTGCGGTCCTCTACGTGTATATACAGAGGCTATTTATATATTCCAAAGAAAGTAACTATTGATACTCTGTCACTTTCTTTTGTAGCAATCATCACATTCTAGTCTGGGGCAGGTGTGCTGGTTAAAGAAGCTAGAGCTGACTGGGATGCACTGAAGTTCCCCATTGCCCAGGACACTGTTCTGTTCCATGGCTCTAGCTTGATTCCAAACACCCATCCTGCCCATGAGATGTGCACCACTGAAGAGCTGGGTACAAACCCATGCCTGGTCCTGGCAGGCCAGCTCCAGATCCACATTCTGCAGCACACAGGCTTGTACAGGGTCCACCTCCTACTTCACGTACATGAGTGTGGGTGTCCAGACACATTAAGGGAAAGGGTTTTTCCTCCACTCAGAACCTGAACAGGTTCACCCAGATAAAGCCAAGAGACTTAATAAATCATAATGCATTTTAGGAAGTATGCATATGCTATCTCCAGGTGCAGTGGCAGACACCTATATCCCAGTGGTTTGGGAAACTAAGACACAAAGATCACAAGTTCAAAACCAGCCTTAGCAACTTAGCAAAACCCTGTCTCAAAAAATAAAAAGGACTGGAAATGTAGCTCAGGGATAAACTGTCCCTGGGTCAAATCCCCAGTATCCCAAAAAGTAAATAAAATAAACAATAGCTTCAAAAAAGTAACCTCATGCTGGGCATAGTAGTACATGCCTGCCTGTGACCCTAGGAGGGAGGTTCAAGTCTGAGGCCAGCCTCAGCAACTTAGTGAGACCCTGTGTCAAAATAAAAAATAAAAGGGCTCCAACTGTAACTCAGTGGTGGAGCATCCTGGGTTCAATCCCCACCCACTACCACAAATTATTGCAAAATAATAAATAATGTAGTCACATGTAAGAAAAATCATGAATTTCATTTAGAGTCTTTAAAGCAGTGAAATTTCATTTAGAGGGTCTATATAGAAGAAAAGCAGTAAAAATCCCTTTATTTGCTATCAGTGACATCCATTTCACTGCCTGGACTACTAGGTGCTGAGACCGCCCCTGTGCTGCAGGCTTCAGTCTCCCTTTGTTCTACAGACAGCCTCTTGGCCTGGCCCCAGTGCCACATTGCAGCATCCCTCAGAGGGGCAGAAGGGCTCTTTGGGTGGAAGAGGATAAAAGTCACCACCCTTGGGCTGGGGATGTAGCTCAAGCGGTAGCGCGCTTGCCTGGCACGCGTGCGGCCCGGGTTCGATCCTCAGCACCACATACAAAGATGTTGTGTCTGCCGAAAACTAAAAAAAAAAATATTTAAAAAAAAAAAAATTCTCTCTCTTTAAAAAAAAAGTCACCAACCTTTACAATGCCCCCAACCAATGAAAACCATCTTCTTCCCATGGAGCTCTGGGAACACCAGCAGAATATGGGATGCTAGTGGCTAGTGCATAATTACCTAGATTGGTTTGTTGGTTTGTTTTGTGTTTTGCAGTGCTAGAGATCAAACCCAGGACCTCACTTATACTATACAAAAGCACTCTACCACTGAGCTACACCCCCAGCCCCACCACCAGCGTTCTTTAGGTCAGCATGTCAGGGAGCTACAGAGATTTGGAAATGGATCTGAAGTCTCAGTCAGCTAACAGGAACGGCAAGAGCCTGACTTACCTTTCCATATTTCAGGCTCCTCGTATGCAGAGAGACAGCTCCATCAGAGAACACTGCCTGCACCTCAGCCTAGCCAGGGTAATCAAGGAACAAACAGAAGCCTCAGCTGCCCACTTTCATGTCACTGGTCTCCCTGGCCCCATGCCTCAATCTTTCCCTCCTATCACCAATAGTCCACCTCAGCTGTCTTGTTGAACCTAGAGGACTTCAATGTGACCTCACTTTCCTCTTGGCTGACGAGAACAAGAGTTATCTTGATATGAACAATATTTTTTTCAATTCCCCAAGATAAAAGTTAACACTAATAAGAAAACTTAAGGGGCTGGGGTTGTAGTTCAATGGTAGAGTGCTCTAGCTCATGTGAGGCCCTGGGTTTGATCCTCAGCACCACGTAAAAATAAATAAGCAAATGTATTGTGTTCATCTATAATAAAAAAATAAAGAAAGAAAGAAAACTTGAGTCTAGTATAGCATGGGCATCACGAGTTACAAGACCCAAAGAAATGAGCTGGCAGCAGGTATAAACAAGAGTTGGGGAAGACAGAGAAGCACCTCAGCAGACTTGACCCAGGACTCAGACCCCTGCAAGGATTCTAAGTTCCTCTGTCAGAAGCAACATAAGCCCCATGTCCAGCCTCACTGGAAAGCACCAGAGGGTGAAACACAAGGTACAGGATACACTGATAAGATCCCCTTCCTGCAAGAAACCTCTCATTGCAAGCTCATCTTCTGCAGATCTTCTCCTCTGAAATACACAAAGAAACAACCTGGTTACTTAAGCCAGATCCTGAGAAAGATCTCTCTCCATTGCTTCTTTCTCTTTCACTTCCTCTTGAGATCATTGAAGCCAACATGAGACTCAAACTCTAAGAACCATAGTAAGAGGAGGTAACTCAAGCCACTGGAGGGGAACAAGGGTGACATCATGATTCCCAGCTCCACTTCTCCTTCCTGCTTCCTTCTCCATCCTCTGAGTAACATTAAAGTTTCTTGTCTGATCTGTGAAACCCTCCCAAACTCGCCCAGCCTACTGCTTCCACTCAACCTCCATGATAGCTCCTGAGCTCCAGCAAGGCCTGAATATCTCCTGCTCCGCTGACTCTGCCCACACATTTCCTGTCACTCAGATTCCCTAAGCTCATTAAATTCTCTCCATCCTTCAAGGAGTAAGGCTAGTCCTTCCTGTGAGCTTCTCTCACTGGATTAATAACTCTGTACCACATCCTGCCAGGTGTGTGGGTCAGACCTCTCACACCCACACTCTTTAAGGAACTCAATTGTACTCCTTTTACCCTCCATCCTCCACAGGACCAGTGCGGTGAGCCTCCCTGTAAACTACGCTGGACTGACTGTGGTATTGTACAAAAGGCTGCAGCTTAGTGACTGAGATGTCTGAAATTAACCAAATGCCCTTTGATTCACAAAAACTAATCTAAAAACAACTTTACAAGGAATACCTTCACTGCAAAGCTAATACACCCAGAAAAATTATTAGCACCAAGATTTAAAAGCTTCTCTCTCCAGCCATCTCTTAGGATCCCACCCCATGGATGTTTCTGGCTCTACCACAGACCAGTTGTTGCCTGTGTTGTAAGACCTGGGCCACCCTACACATGTGCCCAGGCAGCAAACTTCACAACAGAGCTCAGCGTTCAGCAAAGTTCTCCAGTGGGGCAAAAGACACCACAGCTCTCACAAGCCAACTGCACACCTCCAGGACCCAGCTGCAGCCCTTACCAGCTCTCCTCCAGGAAGATTCATGGATGAGAGAAGCAAAACTGAATCCAGCCTGGAGTTGGTCTCCACCTTCCACCTCTTCTGTTGAACCTACAAAAAAAGTTCCACACCTGGACACATACTCCAAGGGCAAGAGCTAGCCTCATAAGTGACCAATAATCCCAAATCTAACAAGCCACAGGTCACACGACAGCCAAATGCATTCACTACCCGACTCCTTAAATCACCAGCTGGCCTTCACTCTGATAAACTTTACCTCTGTGATTCTCCCCACTACAATGTCTCCTACTTCACCATTATACCTGAAAGATAAAACAAAAGGTCATTCATCAATAAACAGATTTTAACACAAGACTAAGCACCCTTTGAGATTCTGGTTAAACAAGGATAAGAGATTTGATTACGGGCCACATTTAGCAAATCCATAAATTATTATTTTCAGGAATTAATAACCTCAAATATCCCCACATATATAAATCTCCATTGACTATCCTTAAACAAACCACTCATTGGAAATAGTTCTGTTTGCCTAAGATCCCTATTTTGTTGGGTTACATGGCAGAGGAAAGCAAGGCATATTTTCCTGTAGAACAAAGGTGGGTTCTGCATTGGCCAAAGGAGGAGAAAGGAGATTTGAAAACAGGTCACTATCTGAAGGGCCCCATGCTCTCCATCTCCCCAGCCGCTGCCTGCACAACTCAGTCCTCTTTGCAATTTCCTCATCCTAGATTGTAAAGATGAAGTGCTCCAAACTAAGGCCCAGGCCTTAGATCACTTCTTATTTACTCAAGGTGAGCTCATCCAATGTAATGGTTTTAAAATACCCCTAAGAACCATAACACACCCCTGCATCCCAGATTCTATTCAACTGCTAGTTACCCACCATCACCACTTAGACACCTCATGGACATTTTCAAAGATAGCAAGGCTAAAACATGCTTTCTAGCGGTCCACTCCCCTCTTCCATAGCAAGCTGCTCCCCTCCCAGTCATTCCCAGCTCAGTAAACAGTGGTTCTGTACCTCAGGTTGCTCAGGCCTAAATCCTTAGAGAGTCATCCTTGATTTTTCTGTTTCTCACACTGATACATCCAGCAGCAAATTCTGCTGACTCTACCCTTAAAATGTATCCAAGAAATAAAGGGCATCTGAATGGAAAAGGAAGATGTAAAACCATCTCCATTCCCAGATGACACTTGGTCCTAAAAACAGGTAATCCCAAAGAACTGGGATCCAATACCCTTTCATGATAAAACTAAACCTCAGAAAACAAATACATGCAGAATCTAATCACAACTCCCCACTTTTTGATATTCTAATCCGAGTTGTCCTCACTTTAGATGGTAAGTATGATCCCCTACTCCATCTTCCTAAATCCCTTCCTATCCCCCTTCAATGTCCCCATAGCAGCCAGAGTGATCTGATTAAAACCTAAGTCAAGCTGGGTGCATACCTGTAGTTCCAGATACTCTGAAGGTGTGTGAACTGCTTGAGCCTACAAATTCAAAACCAGCCTGGGTAACAAAGCAAGACCCTGTCTCAAAGAACCTAGGTCAGATCAGAACTCTCCTCAGCTGCACCCCTTCCAGTGGCTTCCCAGAGTGGAAGATTAAAAGATTAAATGACCACCAGGCAGGTCAACCTTGCATTCCCCTCAGTCCCTGCTTTCCTCCTTGTTCATTCAGTTCCAACCCCACTGGCTTCCCTTTTGGGAAGGCTTTATTGACCACTTACAACTATGCAGCCCTGTGCTAATACTTTAAATGTACCGTCTCACTGAATTCTCAGAAAAATCCTTTTGTAGGTCATGCTATTATTTCTTATCTTTACATTGCAAGGCTTGGAGAGGTCAGATGACATAGAGAAACCTTTGAAGCCTGCATTAATCTCTACTACCATTCTTATAGTCACATTGAAAACTGCAGATCTGTAGCAGCGTAGGGCGAGTGAGTGGCTCTTGGAAGATAAGGGGTGGCAGAAAAGACCTAGTTGTACAGTATGGATGCTGCAACAAATACACACCTTCTGTTCTCACCTGGTGTTCAGAGCTTTCACACAGATCAACTTGTTTACTCTCTCCACAGAGCCAGCCACAGATGCAATAAGTTTCTCTTCTCCCATATATGTTCCATGGCCCCTGTTGCAAGACAAGGAAACAAAGAAAGTATACCAGTTTAACACCTGAAGTGATCTCTCCCCTCAAGAACAATGTGTCCAACAGGCTCCTCCTGGCCCAGAGCCTCCAGAAAGCTACCTGGACATCTGCACCTTACATGTGCTCAGCTGTCACGTTCTCCAGCAGGCTTACCTTCACTACCCCATTTAAAATATACTGCCACCATCCCACCAAATTCCCAGCCTCATTCCACTCACTTTTCCCCCCACTGCATCTATCACCAAACATTCTGAATAACTAACTTGATGCATTTATTGTTTATTATCTGTCTCTCCCTGTTAGAACATAAGACTCCACGAGGACAGCGGTTTTTTCCACTTTGTTCACTATCACCCCAACCACATAGAACATACACGTATGTTGAACATATGAGGAAATGAATCCCAAGAATTTCTAAAACTAAAAGTTTAAAGGCAATGTTATAAATGAGGTACCCCTCCTTATATATTCATGATGTAAAGGTAGGTTTTGTTTCTTTTCTTACATTGCTATTTCATTTAATCCTCACTACCCTACTAAATAGTTACTGTTATCAATATCTTACAGAAACTCAGGTTGGAGAGGTAACACCACGGGAACCGGCTGCTGGCTCAAGAGCCTGCCCTCCCAACTACCACACGCAAAGTCGGTGTAGTTGGGTGCAGCTAGCACCGAGTATCTGTCCGCCCCAAGCCCAAACAATTACTGATTCCAAAGCAAAAACCCCGGCTCCGAGGTGTCACTGAAGGGGCAGTCCAGGCCAGGAGGGCCCAAAGTTCCCTCAAACAGGGACACTGTAGGGGGCCCTGCTCCGAATCTTCCCCATTCCCCTCTCCTGATGAAGGCTCGAAGATCTGGTCTCCAGGCAGAGGATCCCAAAGTCATGGCCGCCAGAGCTCGGGAGGAGGGCTGGGGGCTGAGGCTACTCAGGCCGGGACACACAAGATGCAGAGAGTAAGGAGCACGAGGTTCGGAAACCAGGTGACTGGGATGCTCCGGAGCGGCACCGCGAGAGGGTTCCACGTGCCGGGACGGGAGGCCACGTGCAGAGCCCTGCTGCAGCCCCGGACCCCCAAGTCCCCACGTACCGCATGAAGCCCGTGTCCGTGGTGATCGTGTCCCCCGGCACCACCAGGTGTTTCTTAGTATCGCGACCAAGGCTCTCACTGAGGGGCTTGCGAGCTACAGGGAGCCTCATCTCCATCGCCATCTTGGCGCCAATGACTTGCGCAGGCGCAGCTCGGTCGCGAGCCGCAATACTCCGCTCCGCTATTCAATCGGACGCTCAGAGGGGCGGGGCTTCACGGCTGTGGCAAATGGGAATACACGTTCGCGCGGCCATGTTGACTATTGGCCACTTTAGGTTAACTTGAAGGGAATCAGGGAGCCGAGTTGCCATGTTTACTACTGGCAAGGAAGTACCTGTAGAATTAAAAAAAATAAAATAAAATCTCAGATTAGGTGACGTATGAGTTTTTACCCACGCTGTCTCACATCCATCGTCCTATGTATTGTTTGCCAGGGTTAGAGATTATTGAGAAATAGTCTTCTGAGTTTTCCGACAACTCCGTTGCTATATTCTGATACAGGAAGGCTCTGGAGGACCGGGAGGTGGGACCTACCGAAAACACCCTCTGAACCGAAAGCCCATTGCACAACCATTCCGAGTAGCCCCGTTGTCCGCATTCCAGCCACCCGTGGGTGTTCAGCCGTCGCCGACACCCCCCGACAGCGCTCTGATCCCTCTCATTGCGCTGTCCTTTGCTAACGACCTCTCCGGAGTGAGCCGGCTTACTCCAACGTGGTGTAAGAAGGTCGGCCAGATCCTGCGAGGCAGGTGCATGAGGGGGGAGGGTAACCCTTGCTTGCATTTACTCACACAGCAATCGGGGCGCTTTCCGTGCTCGCAGCACCCTTCAGGATTCAGCGTGGAAGTGCACATGTCCCTGGCTTCATCTGCGGCTCCTATTTAGCAGGAAAGATCCTCTGGTTCCTTCTCCTGGCCTCTTACTATCCTCTGCCTTCCCCTTCCCTGCAAGGTTTACAGAAAACTGAACTTCAACCTCAGGGGATCGGAGAGATTTCTCTCCAGGGACTCTAAAGAGGATTAAACGAAACAGCTTGCATGAGCCACACACTCCCACGCTGAGGACAGGAAATCAGGCACATCAAGCCCATCATGTCCTGAAGATTCATCAGACCAATAAATCTCCACAAGGACAGCATTTCCTTCACCTAAGCAAGGCTCACAACTACACTTGTGAAGAAAGCCAACCCTGCCAGGCAGTAGACGACATAAATGCTAGTGCCCGAGTGAGCAGACATACCATCCTTCCCTGTCTAGAAGACAGTAGAGCCAAGAAAGTGCAAGAACCACCCATCTGTTGCGTCTGGCTATGGCCATAAGAGGGCGATGGTGTCCTTTGAACCAACACAGGCCTGGCAATTCAAGGAATGAGGGGTGTAGTCCTGGAATCATCCCAGAGAGAGAGATTTAACCTTAACCCCTCCCACAGCACTCACATTCCCGAGCCTATCACGAAGCATTGTGATAGGCATTGTGGATAGGCATGGTGGATACCTGTTTATCCTGGAGGCAATGGAGCCCCCCCCCCAAAGGACTAGAATTCATAGTGGCCTGATGCTTGTTCCAACCACTCCTGCGTTCCCCCAAAGCCTGCACCTTTACCAAACGTGTCCTGGGTGCCTTGCTGGCCCTTTGCTGAGTGCTTTACAAACATGGGGTTATTTATTCCTCAAAGTTGACCCCTCTAGAAGGCACATCTGGCTATTCTTGATGATAGTTTGGGTCCCCTGAGTTCCTAAAACAAACTTGCAGCTAGGACTAGAATCCAAGACTCTGGATTCCCCACCACTACCACCACCACACACACAACTCATCCCTGCTTCACCATGCAGAGGAGTGGGCACCAGAAACAGCTGGACCACCCTGGGTGATTTGTGAAGCATACAGGTTTCTAAGGCCAGATTCAGGTATTGAGTCTCTGCAAAGGTAGGGTTCAGAAGTCTGTGTGTGTTTCAACACTCGGTGTGATTTCAATGACAGGTAAGGTCCAACGTCCACCAATTCCTCCCAGATCTGTGTGCCTCCACAAGCTGATCGAAGTTGCCTTTCACCAGGACAACTCTAACAACCTCCTCTCTTACCTCCCTAACTTTGCATTACACACACACACACACACACACCACAGCAACTAAAGGGAGCTTTTAAAAACAGATCACATTAAATCACTTCCCTGCTTAAAACACTTCTGGCAACTTCCCTTTACACTAAGAATAAAATCCAAACTCATCACTGAGGCCCCTGCCTGTCTCTGACTTCACTCTCCTCCTGAACCGTTGCCATGACTCACTGGGTTGCGGCCAGATCCATGGGCCTTCCCTTGGTCCCGTGAACAACACACTCATCACCACCCCAGGATCAGTTTGCTTTTGGCTCTTTCTCCCAGGTCTTTGTGTGGTCAATACCTTCTCCTCACTCATACCTTGTTCAAATATTCCCTCCCCAGAGAAGAAGTCCCTGGCTTCCTTATCTGGAAAACACTCCAATCCCTTCTTGACTCTGTTGTATTTCACATCACTGGGGTTCTCTTGTTTACCTGTTTGTTTATAACAATCTCCCAAACCCCTCCTCCCATCAGAAATAGGGACCATTCCTGAAACCAGGACTTAGACTATTTGGTTCAGCTCTAAATATCACATAAGGCAGAGAGAGAGCAGCCATAAAATATTTGTTGGAAAAATAAGATATATTAAGAAAACATGTTTGTTTATTTATTTGCTCATCTGTCTCCTCCACAGGTGGTGAGCCCCATGAATATCCAGGCTTGGTCTATTTGGTTTGCTGGCCAGTCTCCTGAACTGTACTTGATTTATGGTAGATGTTTGTATTAACCATGCCTTTGGTTTTTCATATTCTGGGAGCCTTACTGACCTTGCAGGATTGCCCCTCCCAGAGTTAACCCATTGCTAGGGACAGTAAAGACTCACCCTAGAGCATGTGTTTCCAGTGAAGCCCATTAGTGCAGAACCCACATCCATAACACCTCCTTTATTGGGCTCTCTCACTTGGGGCCACTATCCCCTGCCCCAGGGCCAGGTGACAGATAGCTAGGGACAGCCTCTTTGCCCCCAGAGCCTGTGGAAATTATCCAAACTAGCCAATCCTAAGCCTGCTCATCCTGCCTTGCCCATTCCTTCCCATGGAAAGCACCAAGATGGCTCTCACCCACATTCTCCCCTGGCTCCCTCTGCTTCCTGACCAGCCCCAGTGTTTCTCCATGTGGGCCTGCATGTTTTGCCTCCTGTTTCTAGGGACATCTGGGTTATAACCAAGTTCTTTCTTCGTGACAGTCATTTTCATGCCTGCCTGTCTACAATTAATTGAAACAAATCCTGGGGACCCTTAAAACAGCCTTCAATAAATATTTGTTGAATGAATGAATAAATTTATTCAACAGATGTTTGCTGGGCACCCACTATGTACTGTGGGGTCACAGAGCTGGGTCATTTGCTACCCCAGCTGTCAGGGTATTAAGATATTCAGAGAGGGGAAAGGAAGTGGGGGCGGGCAGAAAAGCTGCTATGACACTTGTCACTCACCAAAGGTAGCATTATATTAACAACAGCTCCCATTTATTATTTACTATGTGGAGAGCCATGTACTTTATTCATTTATATACATTATCCTGTCTAATCCTCATGATATCCTTAGGAATTAAGCATCATCCCACTTTCCATCTGAGAAGCGTGAGGCACACAGATGTTAATTGACTTGCCTAAGGTCACATGGCTAATGAATGGCAGAGCAGAGTTTCAAACTCACATCTTTGGCCTCTATTTAGGATCTTCTGTCACTAGAGGTCCTAAACCATGCAATAACGCAAGGGGGGAAAAAGGCATCCCAATGGGAAGGAAAGAGGCAAAAGCATGCTTGATTATTTATTCACAGACAATATGATCAGGTACAAAGCCCTAAGGAACATACAAGGACTCATGATGAATACCTGAGTCTTGCTAAATTGGAGGATACAAGGGCATTATACGCTGCTTCCTTGTGGGATATGCAGAAAGCACTTTGGACTGAATCTTCAGACTGACTAGGAGGTGTTGTGGACAGACGGCTTCTGGAGTTAGACACCAGAGGTGAAACCTTGCTTGGCCATTCAGTGACTGAGTGCCAGGACATATGACTTATCCCTCCATGTCTCAATTTTCTTTTATTTCACATGGACATTAAATAAAAATGCATCCAGGAGAAAAGTGGGACAGTGGTAGTGCATGGGTATGTGGAGATCATTCACAGAATACATGTGTTTAAACACTATGCACAGAAATTGCTTCAAAGATTTGCCTGCCTTTGTCTGGAGGCCAGAGTTCTGCACTCCAGAAAGGCGCTTAAGGCTTCTGCTCGAATGCACAGCCCTCCTTCCAGTTTGAAGGCTCCTCAGAACCACGGTTCACAGCTTCTCATTCTTGTGTCCCAAATGCAAGCCCTGGCACACATAGCAGTACTCCTCTGGGCAGGCAGATCAGTCAGCATCCCTGAGGCATGGGATTGCAATTATGGCATATTGCCACCAGGTGGGTTCTGGAGCCTGGGCATGAACAAATTATCTATAAAGAACAAATTAGATTTTTGTTCAAAAGGCCCATTGCCTTCTTTGCCATCTGACTCCTGCAGGCCTTTCTTCAGGACTCTAGCATTACTTGCTGGGAGACCAACATGTGGGCCAGGAGGAAAGGGGACTCTGGACACATAAGATTTGATCTAGGGAACAAGAGAGCTGGGTGGGTACTGAAGTGCAAGAAGGGTAATGTAGGGTCCACCAGAGGCGTTGGAATCCTTCAAAGGGGAGGCAAGGTTTGGGAGGGAGGAGGGGAACCAAGGGTGACTCCTGCTGCTGAGCATAGGGAGCAAACCCATGATGGTATCTGCCTGTAGGCTTCTCTGCTTGTGCCCCTCCTCCAGGGTGCAAGATTAATCTCCCAAAGCTTTGGGAGGATTTGGGGCATACCCTCTGAACTTCCAAACAGGGACAGCCTCTGTGTGCTAGTGTGAATTCCCAAGCATCTGCAGGTGTGTGCAGCTATTCAGCAAGTGCACAAGTGAACAAGGAAGCAGAGAAGCATGCCCATGAGAAGCTTGACCACACCGTCGGTTGGAAGGGTGGCACACGCTGGAGAACAGACTCAGACTCACACTATCCAACCTGCACACTCTCACTGACCAGGAAGTCCTGGATAGGAGAGCTGTGTCTAGCCCTATGTTGTCCATGAAGTCTCTCAGACCTAACCTGACAGCCTTCCTGCTTCCTGGTCTTCTTTTAAGTGGCTCTGATGCCGGGCACTTGGAAAGTCTAGGCGTTGGGAGGGCACTTGGTGGTCATTTTGGTCCACCCCATTGGTTCTCTGAACCCCTTCAATTTGGTCATAAAAATTTTTAAAAAAAGGTGTTTGGGAAAATAATAAATGAGGTGAGTCAGCTGGAAGCCAAGAGAAATCTGCCAGGTCCCTTCTACGACTTCCAGATGTGCACTGGGGCCCTTCTCTTTGGGCTTTGCCCCTAGTGTGACACCAAGAGCACAATGGTGGATTACAGCCCCAGTAAGTGGAACAACCTCACCAACCCCCTTTCCAGCCTCTGAGCACTTTCTATATTTCCTTCTCATGAATACAGAAGTAACCACCCACTCAGATGCCAGGTGATAAATGTTCCAAGTAATTTTTATTTTAGAATACAAGAGAGGTACAAATGTATTTACAGTTGTACATATACAATCAAATAATATATATCACAGTTTGTAAATATCATTTTAAGATAAATATTTACAAAGTTAAAGTGACCATTTTCTGGAATTAGAACACGGTTTATTGAAAACTCTATACACTTTATACTTTTTATTAATATTATTATAGGGTTTTTTTTTTGTTTGTTTGTTTTAATTTTACAAAACCCCCTACGGGAATTCTGCAAGGTGTGAGACGACACCAGAGGGCGCCCACGGCCAGAGCTGGAGAAAACATGGGCAGGTAGCAGGGAAAGTGTGGGCAGGCGGGGCGCAACCCCTGGGATCCGTCGCAGCTCAGAACTGCTTCACCCGCAGAGAAGTCAACCTAGTCAACGCAGTCTTGCCCTGCTCTTGCTGGACGTGCGCGAAGGGGTAAGGATGTGGGTACCTCTCCTTTCCCAAGCTTGACATCAGAGCTGAACTGGAGGCTGGTCCAATTCCCTCATTTTACAGATGGGGAAATTGAGGCCCAAAGAGGGCAGGGTCTTGTCTCGCGTGGATTCG